GGGGGGGGGGGGGGGGGGTAACTTAACCCAGGCAGAAACACCCAGTGATCACAGTATCTTCACTGTGCCTGCTGCTGACTTGCAGGTGAGGCTAGTTCTGCTGATGTGACAAAAAGGCAGAGTCTGGTTTTACAGAAACCTGTAATAGGTACAACCATAGAAGATGCATTCCAAATATTCACATTGTTTATAGTCATATTTCAAAAAGCCAAATGGGTGTTGAACTCCTGAGCACGGCCTGGGACATGAGAACTCACCTAAAAGTAGCCATGGTGCCACAGCGTGGAATTGTCCCCAAGTGTCCCCAAGGGCTGTGTCTGTGACCATCTTTGGAGATGACTCACCTTCAGCCTTTGAAGGTGAACTTAATTTCGGGAAGCACTAGCTCTGCTGGATTGGAAGGGGACTCTCAGCAAACTATCTGTGCTCCAAAGCCAGCCTTTCCTCTGAGATCGTCTCCAGTCCCGTCCTGTGGGCTGGTTGACTCCAAGGGCAGTATGTGACGTGTTTCGGCAGAAGTGGTGGGTAAGCCTCGCATACCTTTGGAAGCACAGCCATTTGGATGTGTGAGTTCTGTTATCTTTGTTTTCAAAACAGCCATTTCTCTTTCTATGTCATCATGAATACATGCCAATTTCCATTTCTAGACTAGATGGTCAATGGCATGAGTTTTTTCTTTCACTGTAGCAGGTCATGGGGAACTTAGTGATGTTTAAATGTTAAATTCATTGTCAATTTCCTTCGAACTTCTAGCAGCATTTACATATTTAGTAATTCTAAAGGGTTATTCATGGTTGATCCAAATTTCATATGAAGTGTGTTTTCTGTTTGAACACAATGTTGGGGAGAAAATGTTGCGTTTATACTTTGAGAACTAAACTTTGACCAAATAAGTCTCTCATAAATACAGGGGGAAAGGACTTTTCTATGTTGCCAGAGCCTGGAGCACCTCCTGCTGTTTCTCCTTTAGTTCAGCACCACTTGCTGGTCAGTGGCAGAACTGTCCTGATTTCATGAATGTCAGGCTGCACCTCAACATGTCCGTTTTTCCTGAATTTGTTAAGTGAAAAGCAATTCTTTTCCTTTTGGAAACTAATTATTGGACAGAAATTGCTTTTGCTGAGTAGTGGTTTTGTGAGTCTGTGTTTCATTTTGTTGTTTGTATACAAAGGATCACTGATTGTTCCTAAGCACAGGGAAGTCTAAAGATGCTCCCCCTTTGAGGTCTCAGGTGAGGATCCAAATCCCCCCAAACTTATGGGCTCTCATGAACTGTAAGAGCATCTTGTTTGGTACCCCAGCTCGGAAGTGTTTTTTATTAAGATAAGTATTATAGAACCAAAACACTAAAGTTACTATAACAAAAGAAATGTTCTTTTACTAAGTTATTGCTGGCTATTGAATATCTGTTGAATAACTGGGTCTGCTACCAAGACAAAATTATATTTCTTACCATGTTTTAAGTTGTTAAGCAAATGTGAGTAATTAAAAAAAAAAAGCTTATTCTGAGATTTGTGCGCTATTCATCATTTTAGGAATTATGAACTGCTTGGAACAGCTGCTCGAGTGTATTTTTCTACCCAGGTCTGTACTTCTGCAACTTTTTCTTTTTTAAGACAAAACAAAACTATGTCATATATTAAAGTTCTCTTGGTTTTATATATTACAGAATAAAACTTTTTTTGCTTTTGAGTTAACAAAATGCATTCATGATATATTTCAGTTATGTTCTAAATAAGGGGAGAGAGTCAGTACTAATGACAAACTAATCACTCAAAAGGGAATAACTAATATTTTTCAAGTGCCTATTATTATGTGCCATATTTTTTCACTTAATCCTCACACATTCTCTATAAGGCAAGTATTATTCCCACTTTATAGATGAGAATATGGGCCCAACCTCAGATAGATAGATGATAGATAGTCTAGAACCTTCTTTTGAAGTCGTTTTGAAAAGGCTTTTCTGAATACTTACACAGCCTTTCCTAAATATACCCTGGTTTGCAAAGTTTCTGTTAGCAGTATCGTTCTGACACCACTAAATGTATAATGCACAACTGTCAAGACTCACTCACTCAACAAATTGAAGATACTGTGACAGCGACAAGCACGCTAACAGGGGCTTTTCAAGTACTCATCACCTGAACCCTCACAATGATGCTGAATTGTAGGCAGCCTTTTTCCAGTTTGGAGTTGAGAAGACTCAAGTAGCTGGACAGTCTGATAAGGCGCCAAAGCTGGATACATTCTCTGAAGCTGTCAGGTTTCAGGGACATTCGCAAGGCACAGTGTGAGATGCAGATGCTTGAGTGTGAGCGGGGGCTACACGTCTTGCCACAAGACGGGTGGGGTGCTCGGGGTTTCCCTGGCCTGATAATCCACATCACAAACCCAAGAGCATGGAGGACAGGTGGGAGGAGCCAGCCTTTCAGCCAGTGATGGACTCTGCTTACCAGTCAGTGAGGTTATTCAGTATCCTGTGGCTTTACATGGAGTGATCACAGACATGGGATGTGGGGATGGGTCTCATGGCAAGTAGCAAAGGTATCTGGAAAATGCTATGGTTGTTACAAAGTCCAGTTTAGCTAAATTCTGAGATGTTTTCCAACAGAGTGCCATGTAAGTTACATTCACCTCTGCTGAATGTTTTTTAAAGGATGCAAGAATGGACCAAATGTGGTGGAAGCGTCCTTTTTTAATCCTTTCATGGAAAAGAAAATAGGTACTGGAATGGGTGACAGTTCATTGGGGGGGAGGGAAACCTTTCCTCCATATCAGGAATAAATACTATGAAGTTTTTTTAAAAACTTAGTCACAATTGTCTGAACAGTTTAACTTATTAAAATGATGTAAGGCTGAACTAACAGCCAGTTCCTAAATGCAGAAAAATATTTAATGTGTACTGTTTGTACTGGAAGTCTGAACCTACTTAGCTGATTTCCACTTTTACCTTTTCTGGGAAGGTTAGCTGCTCAGTGTAAGCTCAGGACCTCCCACTTCAAGCATGCTGGACGACTCATGCCTGGCCTACCCCCAGATACTCTGATTCAAAGATCTGGGGAGGGGCTTGAGAATTTTCATTTCTAGCAAGTCCCAGGTGATGTTGATGCTGCTGGGCCAGGAATCATACTTTGAGAACCCTTCCCTCCTAAAAGCTGTTGTCAAGAAAGTAGTAGGATTTGCCTGTGAGCTTGGACTTAATGAGCAAGGGCTTATCTGACAAGCATATAAGATTTTCCTCTAGTATGTTATGTACCAGTATTGACAATGTCATTTGACATCAGGTAACCTGCAAAAGTATTTCCTAATGTGCACAAATAACGATGCTTTGAATTACTTTTTACTTCCCACCCCCACACCTGTGCCTTTTTCCTTTCTGTCTGTAACATCTGTCTCCTAAAGTATTTATCCTTGAAGACTTCCAGGTCGATATAAGAATTCTTGTTTGCCTCTTCTCTTTCCTCACTTACGTTTTATTCTCCCTTATCCTCATGAAAAGAGATGATTAGAGAACTTTCTGGTGTCAAGAATTTTTTCAGTACTGAACCATATTTCCAAGGAGACACAAACTCTTATTACATTAATAAAAAGCAGACAAAATGATTCAACATTGGTCTTGAAACCCAATAGATAACTGCCATTTTCCACATTCCTTTCCACAGTGAGCTCTGAAGGTAAACACATTACAGCCATGCCTCTTTTAACAATGGATACATTTTTAGAAATGCGTTGTTAGGCAATTTCACCATTGTGCAGACGTCACAGAGTGTACTTACACAACATAGATGGTCTAGCCTACTACAAACCTAGGCTATGTGGTAG